CAGTTCAAAACGCCCTACCGTTCAACTTAGACAAATGTCGCGTTGTACAATTACCCTATAGACATAACTACACCTATACACTTGAGACAAACGGACTGCTGAATAGCTCCCAGGAACGTGACCTTGGTGTGATCGTACAGAGCAACCTCAACTGTTCAAAACAGGCTGAGGTAGCTGCGAAAAGAGGCAACCAGCATGTAGGCATGCTGCGAAGGGCATTCGGGAGATTTGACCCATCAATCTTCCCAATGATGCACAATTCCTACGTACGCCCGCATGTTGAATAAGTTATCCAAGCTTAGCAACCTTGGTTGAAGCGCGACCTAGAAGCGACAGAGGCACCACAACGAAGAGCAACAAAGAATGTAAAGAGCCTGCGCTATCACTCTTACCACCGAAGGCTGAAGTTGCTGGGAATTTTCAGCGGACGCTGTCGAAGGCTGCATGGCGAGCTCATATTAGCGTATCAGATACTGGGTGACCCCAACCACGTATCCCGCCATTTGCTGAAACTTAGCCACAACACGCAGCTCAGAGGTAACTGCTTAAAGTTGAGGGAGCAATAAAGCCGTCTAGAGTGTCGACGTAATTACTTTTCCCTTCGGGTTTGCCAATCTTGGAACGCACTCCCAGACTCAGTTGGATCCTCTGCTACCTTGGATGTTTTCAAAAAACGGCTAGATGTTGCTCTTAGTTCCCAACATTTTGTTACCTAAGCTCCTCTATTGTGGATTACGCCAAGCACGTTTTCAACAGGATTTATGTGTCAAATGGACCTAAGTGAGCGACCATATTTTACTTTTCTCACCCCTTACATCAACTATCACTGCACCCGAGTGTTTTTCTGAACGTTTACGCGCGATAATTTTTTCATTTTACGTTGATATTAATTATCAAAGTATTCATCTCGGCAGACGTTTGATAGATGACCGAGACATATTTTAATTGCATCATATTCACCGCTACCATCCTACGGGACGTGTCAAGCACTTGCTTTTATCCCGGTTTAAATTATTGTTAAATCACTGCAGCGAACCAAGTATTCTCCGAGTCGTGTTGACTTCCGCCAATGAACTTGAAGCTGGTCGGTTATCGACAGTTCGCCTCCTGATTGAGTCATGTTCTATCCCCCTATTCCGGGATATTCTGCGCTGCCAGCGCAGACAGGCGAAGCACTACTTGGACGAAAACCGGAAGGTACATAGCTTTCCCGAGGCTGGAAGTCATGATGAGCACGAAACAACCACCCACGATCAGGAACAATGGTGGTACATTCGCGAGATACTCTCCCTGGAAACGTCATAGTGCTATATATCTCCAGGCTGCGTCGGTTGCAAAACTACTAAGGATGTGGCCGGAGGATTGTGAAAGTGGTCCTTCCATCAAAACAAACGTCAGCAATGGTGCTATAGTGCTGATTTGCGGCCAGTTGCAGCCTACCTTCCGAGATCCGGATCAAAGCAGCATTAGCTAAGCAAACGCACGAGAGTAGCTACCTATTCGGACCACTTGCAGATAAGAGTTCGGATAAGGTCAAATAACTAGCCAGCGAAATTGACACACACCCCATACATTACCTGCGAAGAGAAAAGTAAATATGTAATAGTGGGGCCCATGGATTTGCCGTAAATGAGTTTGTCATCGCCACACACAAAAATGATTAGTTGCTGACATTTCACCGGTCAGCATAACATTGTACCCAGTACACCCACCCAAAGATTCGTTGCTAAAAACATAAAAAGCTTTCCTACATGTGCACCAATTCACAAGGTCTCCTGAAAAAGTTTGCTGAGCTGCGGCTATGTCATGCGTCACATGCCTGGGACTTCAGCTTCATCCTAAAGCTTGCCTGCACTCAGAAATTGCCGACGCCGAGGTTGCAATTGATGGTATATCTCTTCTCCAAAATGATCGACCTAGCAAGCGCAAGGAAGTGCTGTTATACTACAGCAAAGACCTGCAATGCAAACGGCTGGTCGATCCCGAAATGCTGGTTATCAATTCAATCTGGTGCAGTCTGAGAATGAGACGCAACAACACTTGCCTTTTGGCCGTTGTTTATCGTCCCCGAATGTCCACCCCAGAAATAGATTCCCGCTTGGCATTATCCTTGGTAAAGATCCTACGAGGACAATGCAGTCAGGTTCTCATCTCAGGCGACTTCAATATTCATGATTTGGAAGATCCGACATCCCAACGAGCAGTTTCCTGCCGACGTGAAGGAGAACATTGCAAGCATTCCGCTCTTCAGTCATGTCAGTTCACCCACCCGATTCAGCACCGGAAATAAACCATCTGTGCTCGATTTAGTGCTCACGAACAAAGAGCTCATGATTGAAAAACCAAAGCTGGAGAGCTTTCTGGGACGGAGCGACCACATAACCATAAGTTACGACTTCGTATGATATGCTGAGTATCCAAAGAACCTCGTAACTTGTTGCGAACAATCACTCAATACGACATAAAGACAGAACTTGTGCGAGATGTCATCTGGGAGTTTTCGGACGACTATTCCATTGACTGTGCTTGGATGGAGTTTATTTGCAAGTGCAGTGGAGCTGATGAAATCTGCATCGGTTAATGAACCCCATTTTTCATATGATCACAATCATACATTCCGAGCAAAACTCGAAAACACATGACAGGAAGAGAGCCCGCGTGATGTGAGGATGGAGCGAATCCTAGTCCTGACAACTGGAACAACTATGTTGTGCGTTGTAATGGTTGTACCACGCTTATGCGCCAGGACAACTTAGTACACCAGCAGTCTAGCGGAAATCTTTTGTGTTAACAAAAAGCTTCTGTACAGACATATGAACAGTCTCCGATATGTAAAATGCGGTTTTCCTCACTCAGTACATTTATGTGCTCGAACCGCGGTGGATGCAGCTACCGTTCTACGGCTGCAATATGCGTAAAGTTTCTGACGTGCTACCATCAGGTGTAACATCCCTGTCCCAATCTGCCAGCCGCCAATATGTACACTCGTCCCCGTTAGTTCGGCGACACTTTTGAGGACGCTGCTGTCTTTGCGCACTCGCGGTTGACAACATTCCCCAGAAAGCACTGCAGGTAGCAGCTACAAGAATAGCTGAACCACTAACGAGATTTTTCCAAAAAATGCCTAGCATGTGGAAGCAAGGCATCATTACCCCATTTTTCAAGAATGGTCCCGGTTCAGAGCCCACCGACTATCGCTTTAGGATTCTCCTCCTGGTGCTTTCAAACTTGATGGAATCGCTCATAGCTGAGGCTGTAATGGACTACGTTGAAAGACCTAAGATCATAGCAGGGGAGCAACACGCATTCCTTCAGCATCGGTCATGTAATACCAATCTACTTATTGCCCGTATCAGTTGGACAGAGATAGCCGACAGTAGGATCGACAATGATGTCATCTACCGAGACATTTCCACAGCATTCAACCGCATAGATCACCGCGTCCTTCTCCACTATTTACATTACTTGATCTGATTTATATTCCCTAAGGGAAGACATTGCGCAGGCAATGTGATCACCAGCCCACGAAATCGGAGTAGACGGATAAACCATTGGGTTAAAATGGATAACATCGTAAGTGCACTGATGCGTTTTTTCACTTTTGTGTAACTTCATTGAACTAACGTTATTCCCACAAATCATCGCACGAGACTTGTCAAGTCTTGACTATTTTCTCCGTATTATACCATTGTTCCTCTGTTCGTTGATTTGCATGTAACTTATGGTGCATTCTAGAATAGACGCAGTTCAAGTCTGAGGGTTGCCCGGAACTGCCTGGCAGTTCGTTGCAGATAATCAGCGGTAGGGATCGAACCAGTATATTGCCAACGGAGATTTCTGATGTATCTTTTCTACGGTGGAAAGAAGTGCTCGCTACGAGGAACTGAAATCCTCATAGGTTTGTGGGAAATATCAAGCTGGATGTAAGATATACTTAAAAACGATCTAGAATGAACTCCGCGACCACACTGTGCTGACAATAGTACTTACTTGTTGATTGCTAGCAATTCACATGTTACTGCAAAGTATGCCCGTATCATTGATAGAATTATTATAAACTTACATGTCTCCTTACCAGAAAGTTGCATACATATGGTTTCCAAAGGAAGAGACTGTTTTCTCATTGGAACAATTTGCCCTTAGGGTGCTTATCATATGCATACTCAGGAAACCGACTTGCGTTTCAACGCAGCGTTGGATTCCATAGTCTGTATAACATTTACAAACGATTAATCTTAAGGTATGCGCCGTAAATTTGAAAAATTACAGCATGATTTTTCTGAATCGCGCATAAATATTCAGCGTATCCCTATTCAGAAGTTCATTCGAGTGGGTCTGACTCAAGGTATTTTTGGCTGACCTATGCAGGATAAGCATAAAATTGAATTCGTGAATGGAAACATACTGGCGAACAACCAGATGTGATATTTTAAACCAATTCATCAATGGTCCCAGCTCCTTCCATGCAATACAACTACTGTAATACTTTTGAGCTGTATTCAGCGCATACTGGGAAGTTATCGGCAACGTTCTATAATTAATGAGGGGTGCTTCGATTTTAGAAGTAGCAGATGCGGTATATAAATGACTGGCCGTTATCAACGTCCCTTCCTAAAACTCCGTCAAACTGATTAACCAAGATCTGTTCGCAAAATAAAATGTACTGGTTGGAATGGCTTACTACTAACTCTACTTGCCAAGCGAGACGAGGTTATCCAAGATGGATGGAAAGAAATTGACAATTTTCAAGCGCATAATATTTCTAAGCATTCAAACAGACTCAGCAAAGTATATGCACTCTAGGAAACCTACTTGGAGAACTGTAGTAAGCGATAAGTGAGTAATATATACGCGAAATACACTGAATTCAGTATATCACGCCAATGAAATGACTTTCCTTGTTGCAATTTTAAAGTTCTTAAAGGGAAATATTTGGTTGAGAATATAAAAGCACATTGAGGAAATTAGAGATATGTATGGTTGAGTTTTGATCAACTCACAGTTGCTTCTTGAAGCTGATTGCCACTACCGCCTGAGACATGCAAATAGTTATTTTGGCGGTCGCACGTACAGTGGGACTGTGTGAGACCCATGTTCTGCATAGTCGCCAGTTCCATACCGCTTCTAACTGTCGGGGCACCTCCAATGAATGAGATGTAATTACTTCTAGTTTCCAGATCTGCAGTTTGTAGTTTATTTGGCTAAAAAGGTAAGAAGGCATAAGTGGTAAAGTTAAATGTAATGCTACTGTGTTACGAGATTCTAACCTTTGGTGCAGTTTTGTGATAAGTACACGGAGATGAAGATGTGACGAAGATATATAAATTACTCGCGATATGTGGTAGGATTCAGTTGGTCTAAAGACCTAGCTAACTGCTTTTACGATACTTCTTCATAGCGGCTACTAAGTTGAATTTATCACGTCTCAGGACTTTGATTAATTACGTAACTTTAGTTTCACTTCGCTTTCTAAAGTCACTACCACCATAAGTATCAACAAGAACCACTTATTCCTGTCATACCATCAAACAGAAATTGAGCTCAGTGCTCACTACCTCTTTCGTCGTATCTAGGGAATCGCTTACTGATTTAGCGGCTAACTACTTTCACCGTAGTGTGCAAATTAGGCCTACAGGCTTTGTGGTAAATTCCACTAGGGTTACTCCAATGGAAGTTTTAAAACGCGGCCACGTATTATACCTTCTTGCCTTGGATTGTGGATGAAGCCAGTTGCATTTTTATTACTACTGTATCAAGCAGTAAATAAAAATTTATTCTTTGTTCGCTACTCGTCGAAAACTTTGATTCCTTCCCGGAGTATCCTTGAAAGTAAATAAAGATAGGGTGTTGCCCACGCGGAAACGTTGCATTTCATGTCTGGTTATGCAATCTATTCATAAAACGTTCTTCATAATAACCCCTCTGATCAGCCTTGCAATTAAGTTTGTCCTATTTTTCTGGCGTATAAGCAGTCATTTTTGTTTATATTTTTTAGACTTTTGTAAGGGTTCAGTAGCTAACTAGGTATTCCAGTTGCATTCTTCATAAAGCGTACAATTTCGTACCCATCCTCACGCACGACTTCTTGTATTTAATTGTGTACATTTTTGTAACTTCGTAGTAAATTTCTCATCATTTATCCTGCCAACTTCCACTCGGTCCGCGTATGCATTAGGTCGAAATTAATACGAAACAGCACATGAAATTGCTCCTCAGCGCTATCTGTTAATCACCAGAACAAAACTATGATTGTAACTTGAAACAAAGTAGCACCCATAAGACCTAGAAAATATACGGTCGCCAGCGGCATTGCGACCGATGGGTTTAACAAGGTTTAATGTCAAGATCTGAATGGTTGTTTATCCAGTAGTACCACATAATAATGAAAAGCAAGACGTCAGGTTCGGTTGCGTCCTTCTGAATGATGGTCACAAGCCATTGTAAGCTTGTTAGTCGGCCACTTGTCAGGTAAAAAATGCCTCATTTTTGTTATACATATTGTGCCGCAACAACATTATAAGTGACAAAAATAAGGGGCCCATCAGTAAGACGTATTTGACTGTCAGCTACTATCTGTTGACTTTGGAGCAATATGACCAAATACATAAATCACTTCACATATTACTGGTCGCGTGTATGGTCCCTTAGAGACAAAATGCATGATTTAACCACAATAGCTTCTTCCAAAAGAAAACAGTGATCAGTTAAAGGAAGAGGTTTGCAACTGCAAGAATACACTTTGGATTACACATCAGATCTACTGCATAATATGTGATGCATGATTTCACAATCAGAGGTACACTGAGGCAAGCTAAACTGTAGGTGCCTTTTTCCAACGCTGCTAGGACCAGAATCAATTTCCTGCCATGTGAAAGCTTGAAATAATAACCTCGATCCACAAAGTTGGAAGCAGAACTGAGCCCTCCAACTACCGTCCAGTATACCTTATTCCTATACACTGTAAAGACATGGAATCCATAGGGTGTCGATGCACTGGTGTGTTATCTGGAAAACTGTACCATCATAACCCTCTAGCGGCAGGGCTTCCGTCAATAGCGATCATGCACAACGAATTTACTAATCGCACGCAGTAGTTGAGCCGAGTGACCTGACGCTGGGGAAGGCGTTAATGTAGTCTACCTGGATTTTCCGAGGGCTTTTGATCGTCTAGACCATCGGATACTACTCCCCATGCGCCAGCAGTAGGGGATCGGCCACCCACTTCTAAGCTGACTTGCCCACTTCCTACTTCAACGATAATTAATGGTCAGAGTTCAGAGCTCTTTATCAGACCCCATACAAGTCGCGTGTGGTGTGCCGCAAGGCTCAGTTCTAGGCCCACGTTTGTTTTTGGTGTTTATTTTTGCCCTCGCGCAGGCAATCGTTTCAAACGTCGCCATGTCTGCCTTCAAAATCAAGGTTTAGCGCAGGAAGAAGGTGAAAGCCGATCAGCATCTGTTTCAGAGTGACCTAGACATAGTAGATTCATGTTCAAGCCAAAATTTACTACATTTCAACGGCAATAAATGCAAGGTGCTTTCCATCCGACTTCAGAGCAGCTATTCATACCGACTCGGAACGAAGGTGCTGCAACAACCAAGTGTTGAATGTGACTTAAGTTTGTTGGTTAAAGTTGACCTGGGTTGCTCCAGGAAAGCCAAATAGGCCTCGAATATTGGAAACCAACACGTCGGACTGTTGCGACGGGCGTTCGGAAAAATAGACAGCTTAATATTTAGACAAATGTCCTGTGCGTATGTTCTCCTCCATGTCGAATATGCTATTCAATCCTAGCATCGATAGCTGAAACATGACCTTTATGCATTGAGCAGCCGCAATGTGGGGCACCTAACAAGGTAATTGGAATGCTAAATTTTTCATATGAGGAGAGGCTGCAGCGATTGGAGGTATTCAGCAAAAGCTATCGCAAACTACGAAGCGACCTGATTATGGCATATTTGATTCTGCACGACCCACGTCATCTGTGTCACTCCTTAGTGAAACTCAGGAGCAATACGAAATTGGGGGATCACTCATTGGAACTCCAGAACAATATAGACGTCTGGAGTGCTGCATAATTGTTTTAATCGTCTATACCATCCGTGAAATGCTGTCCCATAATCAGTCGTCTCTGCACCTATACTAGAATATTTAAAAGACGTGGGATGACGCACACATTCATTTACACTTTATTACTTAGCACTTCTCCTGAGTGTGTCTTGGATATTTTAGTGTTAACCGTGTGTGCTGTGAATCTACAAGGATTACAGGACTACAGTGGAGCAAACGATATGACTTTCATTTCATTTATACTACTGTTTTATTATTACCGTAATTATTATTTTAATGTCCCCATTAACTATCCAACAGGACTTGTAAAGCAGCGATTCTTAACCCGTATAAATTCGTTTTTCATTCTCCCACACGCGATTTGAGAGCATGCCAGGCAACCAGTTTGTTGAGCTCGGATTCGTGTACTACAGGGTGTCCGTCCTATGCAGATATAGTTTGGTGCTCGGTGAACAGTGGTGTCACACCAACGAAGGTGGTAACCATCGTCTTCGGTCGGAAGGGTGTGCCAATTTCGAAGTATGTAGACTGATCACCAGTAGAAAGTACACAGCCAGTATATATCTAAGTCTGCTGGCCTATGTCAAGAGGTAGATTATCCCATTGTTCAAGGTATGGTGAAATTTAAGGTTTTATTTCAATCATATTCAAGATGGATCCATGATAAAGGCGCATTGTAAACTGAAAGAATGATAGCACAGTAAAGAGACGGCAGTAAATTAGATACAGCCTACACCTTAGTGCACTGCCATCACAACTGTAAAATAACCAGCCGATACAAAATGCATTGATAACTACCACGAGGAGTTTGTTATGTAATTTATATTGACTTTGCAAGGGGCATGGTCACATTGTTCCTTCCACATTGTTGAGCTCTCGATGCAAACTAGCCATCACATCTAACATATGAGGGTAAAGGATTGTTCAAGCATATTTCCACAAATATTTTCCGAGTAAATCACAGCCGTGTGGATTTTAGTAGCTGGCCTTATAACAGTAGAACGCATAATATCATGAGGCTTGGCGAACCAATGAAGTGTGTCAATTGACTTCAAGTGCCTTCAACATTTCGTCCGGCGACTTATTATCTCTTATCTGCAATACTTGTCTTGCTATTTTACTATAATTTGCTGACACTCTAAGGGCGTTAAATTTAGAAGTAGTCTAGATCCCCGACAGTCAAATCTTCAGAATCAATAGTAGTGGTCCTTGACTTTTAATACTTGAAGAGCATGTGTGCTGCTTTGATTCATTGAGCCAATATGTGCAGCCAGTAATTCACCCACGGGAGGATTTCCAATCTTGGCCATCTTGGATAGCGGAAAAGCATGGTCTATGTTATCTGGTGCGTTGATTAGAACATGCTAAAAGTAGTTCCTTGAAATAAGGAAATAGCCTTTATCTGCTTTTGGTAAGGGTGAAGGTCCTAGTTAGGCCGTTGGTGCCTTCCCACTTTCCTTATACGTATAATCAAACTTGACCTATCCAATATTTCACAAGGTCACATAGATTCAAAGGGTACATTTAGGTAGCCTTGCTGTGAGGAACTGTGTTATACGTCGAAACAAATCCAGGACACCATTTTAATCTAAGCTTAGGTACATAGATACATTTGCATGAGAGATTTCTTGGCAATTCCGTTATCACTGCACACGCAGTACCAGATCACACTATCTGGTGAGCGTAACTCTCTACTGACAGATATGTTCGTACATAAGCCATCACTCCGAGGAACTGTATTTTACGTCTACATTAGTCTGACGCCACGCAAAAGTGTCATCAAGAGTCAAAACGAGGTCCGAGCACAAAAGAGCCATTTCCGGCAGTGTCATGGAAAGTGCTTTTACATTGGGCTCACATGTAATGGTAACATCGCCACAGGGTAGACGAATGAGTGACTGATCTGTGTGATTAAGGGAATGCACAGTGTTACGTAGACTATAGCACTAAACTAATGTCAAGTCCATTAAAGTAAGAAAAACTCATCGGTGTTAAATTACACCTACAAAACAGATGCATAACTTGAACTGATGGAATTCGGAATTCCGGTATGGCGAAATACATATTAAACTGAGCTATTCAAACTCACTTCAGAGCCGTGTGCTCCAATGTCACCTAACTTAGGGTGGATGCTGCTGAGATTTCCCTCTCCACAAAGCGTATCGAGAAGGTATCAGATGGATTAATGATCTATTATAACGTCTAGTAACAATAAAATGACCTTATCTATAGATATATATGAAGCAACTGGATTCGCTACGGTCTGCATCTGTTTCCTCTAACTATATGACTGCGGCGGTGGCAGTTTCTGGTGAAATTTATTTTACCAATACGCCTTTTGTGACGCGGAAATACCTGCATAAATATGAGTGGCCTAGAGAATTAAGATCACCAAAGCTCACCTATAGGAACAATATCCTGTAGATGACAATGCACATTTGAACAATAACTTTGACTGCGAAATCGACTAACTTTTCTTACTTTACTTTTGCACGTAAAGTTTTTACCTACTAGCCAAAATCAGTTCGCTCGTACGTTGGGCAATCAATCCCTTCATAATGGCTCAAATAAATGGATGGAATAGCCCAAAAATCTAAAATTTATTGGAGTAAACGTGAGGCTAATTCGTTGCCCCAGTCAGCTGAGTAGGTGAACGACAGCCTAACTTGTTTCCACATATAGTTACCTTGCTATCGTGAAAAATCGTGATATTATCATGACGCTAGTTAGTTGTTAAACAATCCATTGGACTGAAGCAAACATCTATAGCGGCAACTTTGGATGTGTGAAGGCAGTTTAACCGGATACTCCAGGCAAATTAATAGTGTGAATAGCATAAGAATGACTTAAGGAACGCGCATTGACCCCCAAGTTTAACGGGTATTCGCATCAAACAGGGTGTCCAATCTATGAACAAATAGTCCAAGTAATTCAACTCACCATCATGGATGCCACGGGCTGAGAGAAGCTGTTCATTTGTTCAACACACTGCAAATGAGCATTCTCGATCATTCGATTCATGGAGTTGCCAAGTTCGTTACTACATATACCGGGACCGGACATCAACGGAACCAAAAACGAATTTGCACTACATGGTTCGAGCTTTGTTCTACCACAGCAGTGGCAGCAATATTGTTGTTGCATTCTAAGAAATGTTAAAGAAACATTAACGTGTTGCTCTCTTGTCTATAATGTTACTGATCAGCATTTATACCCCCATTGGCTCGAATATCACTGTTCGAAAACTTTCTATGCACAGAAGTGGGTCTGCTGACAATGTTTTAGTCATGTGATTTCACCGACTACTGAAAGCCAGTGTGGGATATTTTTACTTCCAAATTTAAGCCGTTCCTAAACAGCCCTTACAATAAACGTATTAAACACGGGTGAGGCAGATTTGTGATGCGACCCTAAGTTAGCCTTAGGTACTCTGAGGAATAAGAAACCTGATATAAGTTAAAACGTGATTAAATTTCACAGCCGTCTTCGTGACCCACACGTGACAAATTAGCGTATCTTTTGCACCCCATGATATCTCATCACAGGACTCATTCTCAGGTATATCGTGTACATAGTAATAAATCCAAACTCAGATTGTTTGCCCCATGATCAATTGTGTGAAGAAAAGAAACACAACGATGTTAAGTTCCGTCTGAAAAGGAGATCTCTTCAATACGTGATGAATGTTCTCGCAGCAGTTGCAGTAAGCTGGGTCAAGCTAAGGCGTTTGTGACCTTCACGATAGTATTGTTGTTAGAGACACTAGATTGAAAGGACCCGGTCGATTTTGAGGTTGCACACGACGGTTTAAATGAACCCAGCGCTGCCAGATTTCACTGCCGATAGTTTTGTTATCAAGCAATTATTACCTAAAGATAAACTTGGTGTGCAAGTCTGTATGTATTGTTTAGCAGATGTCGTGCTCGTAATACTCACGGTAATTCAGTTGCAAAGCACCCTGGACCTTGTATACAGTTCGGTTACATCGTACGGCAGCCTTGGATAAATGGTCTACCCTTGCACGGCGCCAATGTTATATAGCCCAGTTACAAATTGTTAAGAGTTTGTCTTATTGGGTACACTTCGTTGGGTATGTATTCGACAACAATGTCTCCCCAATGTCCTCTTCGAACTCAGGTTGATGGAAACCACTTAGTTTGTCGCTTGTGGCCGCCACTAGGCTTACAGATATGACTGGGTGGGACGCTAAACCGACCGTATTAGCGTGAAGCACACAAATTGGCCGCTGGTTATAGATCTGAATATTCTCGGTTTTGGCATGATATTTTTAGTAACAATGCGTGAAGGTAGGAAGAAGCCTCAAAAATTCCGTGGCTCGTTTCCCAATGGAATTTCCTACGTCGATTTAATGTATAATTTTACTACTTGTTTAACAATAGTAAGCAAGTCAGCAGCATAACAATGGTACATCACATGGCCACCGGGGCATCAGTTACTATCATGTTGTTTTGTGAAGTAATCCATATGATTGTATAATTAGACACCCGATAACAGTGACACTGCGAGTTATATGACGCGAATTTTAATAAGTCTGGTCCCGGACCTAACAACCATTTATTAATGATCTGTTCCAGCGACTGCACCAATGTTCATTTCGAATTAAAAAGCGGCGGAATTGCAGAGGAGTTGTGGTAACTAGTTTTATATCACCCGTTCGTTGCAGCAAATCACAAGCAACGTAGTTGACATACCACCCCGGCAACGAACAATGTGATCATTTCGCCCTATTCTGGCTCCTCGGTAGGGCCCATTGGTTTGGTCCTCTACACGGAATAGAACAAACGATCGTTAGCAGCTCACGTCAACCAGCCAGTAGCTAACGCCACTGAACAATGAGGGAAGGTAGTAGACCATCATAACTTGCAAACTAACTGAGATTTAGCGCAAACTGCATGGGACCGAAGGAACGACCAGCAGTAGAGAGAAACAATCGTTTAGTGCTTTATCGGATTGCTACCATGAGAGATCTGTTTTCAAGACCAGCCGCTAAAACCTAACAATATGGTCAAACCAATGTCATTTACTAGATAGACTGCAATGAATGTACAAAATATCTCACATAACCAGGAATAAAACTCTCAACACGGATCAGAGAATACAAGGTCGTACGTAGACTTGGTACAAACCCCTTAGTTACTATACACGAGGATGAAGCAGGTTATCATTTTGACCCAATAGTACGCGGTAATAGGAAAAGCCATGGGAGTTTATATAAGCGTAGCATTCTACAAACAATCCGCTAAGTCAGCATATTGATTTGAACGTCATCTACCCAAAGCTGTTAGCAAAAGACTACCACCGCAGTGGAATGCCCCTAACGGAAGAGGACATTTTACAAGCAACATTTTACTCACAACACCTGCCAGGTCTTTCACGTTGTTTGGTATTCTGAATAAAACATCCAGGCACTTCACAAAACTACTAGTCCAGCGGAAAAGAACAATCAGAAATCGTTATTTTTACGAAGTAATGTATTGAGCAGATTACCGCCCAAAAGCTGTACAACTGAATTTGAACTTTGCCTTTGTCCATTGAACTTGGCTTCTGAAACAAAAAGGGCAGCTGTCAAAATTAGCAGCGCCATACTGATCTAGCCCAATCTTAGGATGTGTCGTCGCATGCAGCCTTAAGAAACAACTGAACTTTTTAAACCTATACAACAACCAATGCCAATCGAATAACCACGTTTAGAGCTACCATTAGAGGAAACGATCGATCACCCTCTACACAAAAGCGTTAAAAGCACTCAGGTGGATTGCCGAACTTCTGATTATCACACTGTGTTTTGTTCAAGAATATAGGTTATACCTATGTACTTTCTTTTACATCCTATACGCACGTCACCCGCGGGTGATAAGAGCAATAGTGATGTTAACAAAGAGTGACAGTAATATGAATCGGTGAAAAATGGTTGAAGGGCAATTGATCACGAAGTGTAGTTCAGCACTTTGCAAACAAACACTTTCAGCCACAGAGTTAAACGGGTCGAAGAGGCCATGTTCGAAACTCACGTGTTCGTCGATCATTCACAACACCAACTTCCAAAACGACCACTGACGACGACCTATGAAAAGGAACGGGCGCGACTATGCAATTCACTCCTACTTGCGCACTACTGCTCCGCTACACACTATCACACTGACGATTTCTCCTTTATTGGTGATGGAACGTTTCCAACAAAACTGCCAAGCTCAACTTACAGTACGTAGTACAAATGAAGTCACAAGTCCGGATATTACAAAATCTAACTGATTTATGCCGCAGCCGTTTTAGTAGGGCAAAAGTGCAGGTTATCGCATTTACGGATATGTGTTAGCTGTCGGACTTGAGTCAAACCTTTTCAATAATAGATGTAAGCACACTTGTACTCTACGCTAACCTTGACTGCAACTCGAAAGCATTTGCTAGTGTTACGAGGTTCATGGACCATTATTATCATTATCATCAAAAGCAGCACATCAGCCATTTGAACTGATGCTTCGCCGCTGAACAAACACAATGACCTGCTGAAAATAAGTATAAGTGGGCGGAAGTTCCACCAAGAGTAAAGCACTAATGCCATAAGCAAACATTCAGAATCAAGGTGAGTACACCTAGTCAGCAACACACGGTCATAAACATCTGGTTATAGTGGGAAGATAAAGCGGCAACAGCTAGACAGTCATCTTGCGGTTTTCACCTCTCCGCGTCATAATCAGCCATTACCGTGCAGAGACAACACCAAGCACACACCAAACCGGAACTCTAATTATGAGATGACAATAGGCGCGCCACTGGTGTCGACATTGAGATATGTTCTTTAAAGTATCGAGCCAACTACAAGGCGAGTCACGTAAACTCCAGCCTGGAAGGCGAGACAGACCGACGGCATCCAGTTTGGTAGTCTGCGACTTCATTTCCTGCTGCCAAGATAACTTTTGCTCACCTTGTACCTTGCGCCAACCTACTTCTGGCAAACAGAATAGGTCCTTCTCGGTAAGTTGTGAATGGACATACATAGTACATGACAAAACCAACGCAACGAATTCAGTGCTATGGGTTTTTCTAAAGAACTACTCTGATAATCATTACCTAGCAATCGCCGATCATCATCATCGTTGTGGACAAGCTGGTGCCATTCGAAATCAGCAGTGCTCCGCAGACAGCGATGATGGAAGATTTAAAGGCGCCTCAGATCCTCAGATCGAGGAGGCCAAGTCTCAATCCCATAGAGCAGGAGGGCTCTTACTGTGGTTTTGTAAACACCTCCATTCAGACCGAGGGAAACGCTTTTCTGACGTCACAGGTGTTCCAGATCCACGAACGCAATTATAGTTTCTGCAATATGTGAATTCACTTCACTTGCTATGCTCCAATTGTAGCTAGTGCAGTTGTAAGTGAAGGGAACAACTACCTGGGGTTCCCAGCTATCCAGGGGCAAAGGGTTTATCAAGGGGCTGGTGGCCCTGCAACAATACTTTACACTGTGAAAGTGCGAAGTACATGCGTAATGATGGGGATCAGTCTACAGACGTTATTTGTGGTTGGTTGGGTTAAATCAACTTCATAAAACTACACGATATTATGGTCCGCATAATCACGATGAAGTAGCTATACACCAGGCAGCATCTCAAAGCTTGTATCGTGAGATTTCGCAAGTGAACGCTCCACGATGAACTACACGATGAAGATGCACAAAAATGGGGAAATTGAGCAACCCTAAGGAATGCTAACTGATGTTATGAAGATATGCAATACTCACCGTAGCCACTGACGCGGCCCCTGGAGTTCGATTACAGGACCCGTAAATATTCACATATTTCCTGGGAACACATTTCCGCGCAAGACTTTGGAACAGAGTGGATCGACCGACTGAGTCGAACGCACACTTGGAATAGAGGAACACAAATATTGTCTGTCTACGGTACGTATGGCACTGCCCTAACACTTGCGGCATGGTGAATATGTGATCTTTACAACCTCCTCCGAGACATGAAACTGCTTGCTCTTTCGCAAGCAACAATTCCCTTTCCGCAAAGAGGCCACGGCAGAGAATTGATGTT